CCCTCACTGACCCTCTGCAGGTGGTGAGTCCACAGGAGGACGGCTGCTCTCTGAGTGTGAGCATAGCCTTGATCTTTCAGTGGGGGCTTTGGGCAAAGTGGGGTTAAGTGTCTTGCCCAAGGACACAACGACAGCAGTCATCAGTGGGAGTCGGTGGAGAAGGTGCAGAGGTGGGAATTGAACCCACGACCTTCTGGCCTTAAGGCCAATGCTCTACCAACTGAGCTACTGTCGCCCACTTAGAATGTAATCTAATGCTGTAAAAAGACAGAAGACACATGAACTGTGTCCAGTCGGTTTTGGGTTGAGCTTTGAATATTTCTCCTGTATATTATTACCCCTCATTTAGTTGAAGGTTTATTTCAAGGCTAGATCACTAAATTATTGATAGCTACTCAGATTGACTCTATAGTAAAAACATCAACAATTACATGTTAGCAATGCCACACCTACAAACTCTCCAAAGTCATTCTGATTAGAGAAAGCAATTCAGTCCACTTTATTTTGTATAGCCGCTAAAGTGCTGCACAATAAAAGTCTAATGAAAACAAATCCAAAGTCAAACAGTAAAATCATTATGAATCAACTAAGATAAAACCATATATTTACACAATGGAAAACATGGTGGAACAAAGAGACCTTCAACTAATCAGTCTGAAGACTTCCACATCTTCACAAAAAATTTTTTTGACATATGTTCATCTCCTTTTATTATACGTTGAAAACATTTTCATCAATATTTTCCATGCCATATCAAGTGGAGGCTGGTCCGTCCATAATATAATGTGACAGAGAAGTAAAGTGATAGAAAGAATGTGAAACGGCTTTTGACCCATCGGAACAATAACACAACATAGAGATAGGTTATATGTCTCAGATGTGTTGCTATAGTTACAACTCAATAGCAACACAATGAACCAATAACAATCCGTCCTGATGAGTAAATGTATCCTTTTAGACCTCTGAAGCTAAGCAGGGCAGGGCCTGGTTAGTTCTGTGATGGGAGACCTAACACCAGGTGCTACAGTGGTGCAGCTGCGGCTGTAAAGTGCCAAACTGCTGTTGTGTTCTTAGGCAAGACACTTCACCCATGATTCCTAAAATGAGTCCGGTGTGTGTGAATGGTTGGTGGTGATTGGAGGGGCTGATAGCACATACAGTACTGGTTGCCTAGCTTCTGTCACAGTGCCCCAGGACAGCTGTGGCAACGGTAGCAGTTGATCATCAATGTGTGTTGAGGGAATGGATGATGTGAAGTGTCTCTGAGTGTCCTTCAAACCTTTATTCGTCCCACAGTGGGGAAATTTCAATGTTGCAGTGCACATACGGGACAGTAGTAAGAGCACACAAAATATACAATAGAAGTAGCTGCTATGTTTCCTAGCTAGCTGTAAATGCTTCAATATCAATATATCTGTCTATATACTGTATGTAGTTCGAAAGTAAAGGCACAAAGTAAAGTGAGGTCTTGACACTCATACCTTTGACTGTCTGCGTCTTTCACAACGCCCACATGATCCCTGTCCTGCCTTTTGGGGTTCGCAAGAGGCTCCAAGGGGCTGCAAGTGGCGGCTCTGGCTCCGTTTCACTTGTTTGACCTTAAACACACAGCGCATTCTCGGGTGTCAGCCAGGGATGTCGAGATTGTCGAGTGCACATGAAGAACCCACTCTGAGTGAAAACGAGCTGACAGACACAGCCTCCCAAAGTAAACGTGTGCGAGATGAAGGCCGCTGGAGGGATGGCTGCAGGGAGAGAGGGGTGGATTAGTGGAAGGTCACACAGGAGTGATAACTATTACATGGCTCTGTTGTGTTTCATGATGTGACCAGGCAGGCACAGCTCACTCAAATGTTTCAACATGTATTCACTTTGAGATTTTGCCAATGGAGAACGTTGTCTTAACCTCACTTCCTCTTCGTTTCAGAAAGCCTATACAGTACATATCATTCACATCCACAATGAGCAAAAACGCAGGTCACCTCTTCCTCACACCCTGGGAGACACGGGCTGGGGTTTCAGAACAACTCGCCTTCAAACCCTTCTAAAATTGTAGAGTCTGACTACCATGTTTTGGATTTAGGACAAACATGAACAATATTCAAGGAATCAGAATTTAAGAATTTAACACCAGGACTCCTGTAATTCTGAAACTACAAGAACTCCCAGAGCAGTCATTTTGACGGCTCCCATTCAAATTAAAGGAATTCAGAAAAAACCTAACTGCTGCAAGTAAACAGTGTGTTGCTTTGGTAACTAGCACTATATATAGGACTAGTTTAGAATCAAGATAATTTCATAAACATTGAAAAGAATAAAATTTAAATAAACTACATGTAGAAACAGAAAAAGTCACGTAGTTAGTTATGAAGTCCAAAGATGTTCATGAGCGCTGCGGAATACTTATGCGTTCAAAAGAAAAGCCGTCGAATTGACTGCTCTGGGAGTTCTTGTTGGAGACCTCGGTTGTAATTATTGTCTAGAGTCTAGACTAATCAACTATTAACTATTGACTATTAATATCTGATGGATTGGCATCATCTTTCTTACACACATTGCTACACATAATGTAAAAGGTTCTTCTTTTGTTCTGTCTGACAAAAACAGGGAAATAAACTGCCAGGTTAAAAGTGTTCAAAGTTCTCCGACAAAGTGACAAAAGATGCAGAGGATAACAGCAGAAGACATTCCCAGCATAAACGCCACAACCAGATAAATCACAGCTTTCTCATGGTTTCCATACCAAAGGCCAAAATACGGCCCCTCTGCATCTGTCATGGCGCCACTGGATACATTTTATTCAAACTTTAGAGCAAAACTGACCACTTTAGGCGTGGTCAGTGTGAACTCCACGCCCAATTATAGACGTACTTTAGACAGCATTAAAATAAAACTGTTTAATAGCCCACTGCTTACATGTGGGTGAAGAAGGTTATGAAACTACACACACGTCACACAATGGCTTTTTGCATGTGTTGCTCTTTCCTTTATAAAGCTGTCCTTGTAAAAATAATTTTGTTTTACTTTTCTTTTCTCTTGCCCCACGTGGATGATGAGCTTGTCATAGTCGGACGTTTCTTTTGAGCCCAAGTTCCTGTTTTCCCCCCTGGTGAAAAGCAACATAGGTCCAAACAACACGGCAACCTTTCCCACAGTTCCCGGGTCGACACACCAGTTTAAGGGTCAAAAAACACAGGTGGTAGTAGAAGCAGTTTATTTCTTCGGCCATTATAATCATTAGATCTTAGGTCACATATTTTCAAACATCTTATACATTTAACAATAAGATAAAAATGAACTAAATCATGTATATAATGAATTTTAGTGCTAAATAATGACCAAAAGGGATTTTTCCAGAATGACACTGCTTAACCCCTATTACAACTGTGACACTATGTCCAAAGGCATGATATACAGATTCTCATTTACCAACGATGGAAACACATAGCACAAAACTTCAACTTAAACTATAAAAATGATGTTATGCATGATCAAATTCAAGAGGTTGCAGTTAAGACCTACACACACAGGTCCAACAACAACAAAGAACAAAGAAAAGGGCATTCATTGATATAATCTGCATAACTCACTCCAGAAAAACTCAAAGAAATAGTGAGTCAGGTTTGATCCATAGTGTGATCCATATGTTGATGGTGTTCTTCTTGGCGTTGTGAATAATGGAAAGCTCCAAACACGTTAATAAGAGCCACAGCCACCGTCTCGCTCACAGAACTCGCTGAACCAATTCGTAACCTTAACTTATGAGGAAGAGAACAGCTTTCTCAAAAATCCCTTTAAAAATTGCCAAATCTGTATATTATTGTACTATTTGCGGCTGATTTATATTTATCTTCCCTTTTGAACTTGCCTCAGTATAAATAAAAGAATCCTTGTATAACCTTGTGTTTATGAGGTAAATATATCTCAGTGCGTTCCAACACTTTCTTAAACTCGAGTAATGGCCAATGATATGACAATTTGGCGAATATGTAGGAGATTTGATTATGGCACGTTAAAAAACAAAAACAAAAAAAGAGTTGAATGATTGCGTAAAGAAACAGACAGCCCTTTAGCTTTACCCTTTAGTTGTTTAGAAAGAAAATCATCTGAATCTTGAATAAGACAGAGGAAAAGGGCTGCAATTGAAATTAATCAATGTTGTTTTGTTTGTACATTTGACTAAAACAAAGCCTAATTAATCTCATTCTGCAATCGTTATAGAATTCATCAAACCTTCTCACAGGTTTAAGTCTGGTTCAGTTATTGATTATTAAAATAGTTTCAATAATCAATTAGTTGCGATTCAAGTGAAGTTCAGTTACTTTTCTAATTGTAAAAATGGAAAGACGTTTTTGGAATGCAAGCACCAGTTAGACCCGCCCCCACAGGTTCCTGATTGGACGGAATTAACTCAAATCCTTGAAAGGACAGCTGAGGCCTCTCACCATCGGTCTAACTATTCTCCTCCAGCAAATCAAAGTGCTGATTCTTATTTCAAGAGAAGGGACTGTTTTACAAATATTGCATATGAAAATTACTTAATATAGATGATACCACAGAGTCATACGGTCACAAATATATATTATTTTAATTATTTTATATTGACATTGCAGACATGATAGATCACCTTTAATTAAACTTGTAACAGTCCTATAAGAAAACATTTGGGAAGCCAGGTTGCTGTATAGAAACTGCTACTACCATTTATTTTCTATTGTTTTTACCAATACATTTCAAAAAGATATTGTTGTTGTGACAAGCAGGGCCCACATGTGCAAAGAAACACCAAATATGGGAAACTATATGAATTTTATTTTTTAGTTGCTACTGGACATCTGAATTTCTACTACGGGGATCAATAAAGTATCTATCTATCTATCTATCTATCTATCTATGAGATCATTGGGAAATTGTGGTGATTACAAATACATACTTTTCATCATGGGACAGATTATAAACGTGACTTTTTTGTTAATGTGTTTGTATTTTGTGTGTTGCAGAGTTTCAATGCTCCTCCACGCTCTAAGATGAAGTTATGGAAAGGTGCTACACTTGCCTTCATGCTCTGTGGCGCTGCCTTATCTGCTGTGCTCCTTAGAAACATGACCACTCTGGGACAGATCCGAGCCAACACCAAACACCCTCAAACTCCCTCTGCGAATCACTCCAAATCTACTTCACGAACTCTTTCAAACTCCTCAAGCACCAAATCTAGAGCGGAGACGTCAGCCATGGGTGGTCCGCGCCGGAGAGCCAGATCCACCGATGACATGAGCTCGCTTCTCTCGGAGTGTAAGATAAACTTTCTTTTTTTTCTCACGTTTTTGTAGATAAGGTGAGACGTGAGGGGTGTCCAGGGTTCTATTACCACCTCGTTCGTCAACTTCAGTGAATGGGCACCGAAAAAGGACAGGCTTTCACACAGACTTTATAAATGATTAGACATGTGGTTAAATGTGGCTGGCTGTTTTACTCAAAATTTTACAAAAGCTTGTGATCCTGTAATTGAAAGGTCTATAAAGTATACAGTACTTGCTGGACTGTTAAGCACATCTGTACATATACTGCAGCAGTGATATTTAAAGAGAAATTTAGAGACCACTAGATACGTTTTCTTCAACCTTCAGACCGACTCATCAAGTGAAAAGGTCCCAATTTCTGTGTCTGTTGTAATGACGACCTCAAAAAGTATATTATAATCACACAAAAAGTCTTGTAACTCTTGGATGGAAGCAACCATTGTCGTAGTTACAACAAGTAGCTATTTTATTTCACACAGAAACTTTATGGTTTTTGCTATTTATTTAATTTAGAGGGATGATTTCCTCAATTAAAGGTGCCATAAGCGATTTTGTGTGCTTAGCCGTAGCACCAACTGGAAACCACTCCCCCCTCCCTTCGCCTCTCCACCAAACCAAACATCCAGCATTGTCTTTTCTTTGTCACAACAGGGAGAGTGGGTGAAAAATGTGAAATTGGCATTTTCTGTTCAGCTAATTTAGGTTTTAGAAAATCCGGTGAATAAGGTCCACGCACTCGGGAAGAGGGTGAAGGGGGTAAACGCATCCCATTGGTTCGTAGGGGATGAACGAATCCCATGGGTTTATTTTTATCAGTCTACTCCAAGAAATTTGTTATTAACTTTTGGAGACTATAAGCATCTGGTCAGTTCCATTACTATTTGAAAACACACTTAACTACTTTTAGGGTTTAGGGACGTTTTCCCACAATAGTTAAAAAAATGTGTGCAGCAAAAAATAACTGACTGCATCTTAAGAATACAACAATGAATTGAACATGTATTTTCACTATTTCCACTTGATAGCAACCACTTCTACAGATTTGGATTCTTTAGAGTCTAGATACACATAGTACAGACATTGGAATAAAGTATTGCATAACAGTGTAGCAGTGATAAATGTGATAAGGCGTCTTCTGTGGAAAGCGGTGTTGATGGACATAATGATGACAACAAACAGTTTGTTGGAAATGTGTGTGCAGACAGATGTGTAGATGTGTTATTTGACGGTGTCTCTCATCACTCACTTGTCGTCTTGTTCCTGTGTCAGTCACGCTGATGTTCCAGAGCTTCACGGAGAGCGAGCTGCAGCACGTGGTGGGGGCGCTGTTGGACCGGAAGAGGCGCAGGAGTCGCCTGGACCAGAGCCGCAGGACTAAGAGGGCGCGCAGGCCCAAACCCTGCTCGGTCAGAGAGCTAAAGCTAACAGTGAGCGAACTGGGCCTGGGCTACGAGAGCAACGAGACCATGTTGCTGCGCTACTGCAGCGGCAAGTGCATAGGCCACCGGAACAACTATGACATCACCATGGAGCACATGATGAGGACTGGCTTCAAGAAGAGAGGCCGCAAAGACAAGGTGAGCAACGGGCCCTGCTGCCGGCCCACCGCCTTTGAAGAAGACTTTTCCTTTTTGGACGATAACTACAAATATCGTACGATACAGAACTTATCAGCTAAGAACTGTGGGTGTGTATGACCCAAAGGACAGATCATCTCTTCTCATGCTGCTCAGCCTCTTCATCATGGATCTGTTATTGTTATGGTGGAGTATAAGCTTGATGTCCTTCTGTGGACTAAATGTTTCTATAGACCCCTTAACGGCCTACGTCACTGTGATGTCACGACTTTAGCTGAGGGCAGAACGAAGGAACCACCTTTAACAAACTTTAACTTGTCTTTTTGTTGTGTTTTTTGGATGTGAGAAGACAAGGAACAGCACGTGTTGCTTAAACCGAGATGTAATCACATTCCCACTCACAATGCTTCACTTTTGCACTTCTGTGTCAATACCACAATCAAAATATCCTTAAAGAATTCATGTTGTGATAATGAAGACAAAGGACTACAACCCTGCCGCAATGTCTAAATCAGGATATTCAGGTCAAAGGGGTTTCATTTCTAACCAAGCAGGAGCACACCAGACTCCACCCATTTCATCAAGGCTTTGGGTTCAAACTGGACTCACATGAGGAAATGGGTGGATTCTGCTGTGCTCCTGCTGGGTTGGAATGAAAACCTTCAGAGTTGGTGAGTCCAATATCCCTGGTCGAAATGATCATCTGCCAGCTCAGTAAACTAGATGGGAAGAACAAGGTGATAGAGTGGCACGGTGGCACAGCGGTTAGAGTTTGTGCTTCGCAGCCTGGTCCTGGGTTCAATTGCACCTCCAGGCCTTTCTGTGTGGAGTTACATGCTTAGGTTTCCTCTGGGTGCTCCGGTTTCCCTGACCACTAAAATTATATACCCCATAACACGCTCCCTGACCCCACTCCCCTGATTGAATACAGGTAAGCAGGATTTGTTTTAGATGATATTTGTATTTGTCAAGATTGCACTTTTGAGACAGTACCAAGCCCAGAGATCGCTTCAAACTTCTGAATATTATCTTGTCCTTCATCCAAATTGGAACACACAAATGCAGCAAAGGTTGTTGTTCATTGTCTCCATATAGCAACAATGATATAGATGTATTTTACCCATTTAAATACAAAAATAACACCAAAAATTATCTGTTATATGCTAATCAACATAGCTTTGAGCGGCTTTTTTTGCCTCCGGCTAAGCCCCGCCCTCTAGGAAACGTCACGATGTTTACACACTTTTAAGGGGTCTATACAAAGGACTAGAACGTACCCCAAAAAGCTTCTATCTTCTATCTGTAGTAACACTGAGAGTCTTGCTGAAACAATCATGAAGCAACACAATGTTTGCAATACTAGTACTTCATGCCAAGTCAGCGTCCTCCTTCTCATTCATTCCGATAATTAAGCAAATCATTCTCTATCAGCTTAAAGGGGCTGGATGCAGTTATGGGACCAGTTTTTGGGGCTATTTGTTAAAAATACTTTCAACAAGTTTCTAATGCACCCACTTATATGTCCATCGAGAATTCAGGCCATTCATTCATACTAAATGCTTCCAAAATATAGTCACATTTCTCATTCCTCATTTTTCAAAATCATGACATTGACTGGCTGTGGTCCAGGACATATCCCGCCCTTTGCGCAGCTGGGAAAGTCTGCAGCTGTCGTGTTTCTACTATTCTGGTAGAAATACGACTGCATAAATACTGCATACAGCCCTGACGACAACTCCTCATGTACAGATGTGTTCCGTGTGTGTTTGGTTTGCTATCTTATAATGTTATCTCTCAGGTTTAGTGTTGCTAATTACGCAATGACATTTTCTGATCTTGAGGTTTCGGATCATCTTTGTCTTGTGGAGATGGGATGAAATAAATGTACTGTAAAAAAAAAAAGGATTTGGAGGTTAGGTTACTTGACATGCACTACATACAGAAGCTCTATAATGGTAGAAAATACATTAACACAATGGTCAAAGGGCAATTTCATATATGAAAATCTTCTGTTGGACCCATTCTCAAGTTGCATCATGGAAATTCTATCTCATCCCATCTCTAGTAAGAAATAAAATGTTGACTTTGACAATATGTCTCGCTTGCATTTTCAATTATTTATTGTATTCATGTATTTTATAGCTAATATCTAGAGATACATTTGTATACTGTAGCTCAATTGAGAGATACAATGAATTTAACTTATTAACGGTCTTTGTTACAACCAGATTTATAACTGCGCATGGATTGAAAAACATTATACATATGTTTCAAGTCAACATTTCATTTAAAAAGATAATTGTTCCGATGATTCGACCTCTGTATCTCTTTGGTAACGTCTGAAATGCTTCATCCAATCTGTTCTCCGTCAGATTTTATTTTCGTCCCAAATTATCATTACCCGCAGAAATTTGCCAAAACACATGTTGATTCCCGGTACGTTCATGTTCGGCTCTTGTGAAGTCCGTCTGGAGGTAATTTGTGGAGTTTACATTGGGCAGTGTTCAGTAATAGAGTGCGAAAAAGAAGGATGGATTTAGTAAGGGATAGTGACATATTTTTTCTTTTTTCTTGCATTAAAAAAACTAACTGTAGAACTGGGCTGATAACTGTCAGATGGCTTGCGTTTATAATTCTGTACAACGAAAGAGGCTACCAAGAGAATAGATGCCGACTTTTTTGGGATCCTGCCATAGACTGCGTATAGATAGACAACGCTAACTCCCTATATCTCAATGACGTCCAATAGAAAACGCTCATGGATGAAGTCTTGCTCCAACTTTCTCTGGCTCGAATTGACTCACATTGAAAAGTAAACCGGGCTAGTGTTACTTTTGACGCTCATCATTAATGGATGATGGATCCAACAAGTGACTACTGCCGACTCAGAGCTATAAACATGTAACATGGATTTATTGACGGAGCTAAAGTTTCACAAAAGACGTTGGTGGCTGAATTGGGGCAATCACTTCAAATGTGTAAAAAAACATTTATAAATATATGTTGTTGGGCTGTATATTAGAGTGAAATGACAGTGCTGACGTTACCGTAGTTTGTCGAATGTAGAAGAAGCCGATTTGAGCATACAGTAGCTGGAGCCAACTTTGCTGTAACAGGGACAAACGAGTTGCTAAGACGGTTGCTAAGATGAATGAAGGTATCTGTATGGCTCATATCTGGATTTACAAAGTCATGTAAATGTTTTAAATCCAAAATGGCGAGTATGACACTGAGCACTGAGCTAGAGGAGTTTACTTTTCAATACAAGTCAATAGGAACCAGGGTGAGTTGGAGCAAAACTTAAATGATTCATTCAGCTAGCGGGTTAGCATTGTCCACCTATATACAGTCTATGCCTGTGAGACAAAGTGATAAATCGGGAGGGCCTGACCGTGTAAATTCAGATTTTTTAAATACGTTTTCACTGATTTTTTCTGTATTTTTTTAGATAGAATATGACCCTAACTGTGGATTTTCAACAGTCCAGCGCCCATAGCCTTTCATTGGCCGTTCCTTTGCCTCCATGTTGCTTTGTCCGTCACCCTTTAGAACAGCACTCCTTTATGAACTCATGAAGCAACTTTTTCCTACTTTTCCTTTCGCCCTTGAAGCGTCACAACAGATTGCCTGAAGTACAGTGGTTGTGTTTTTATGAATATTTTTTAAAGAAGGCGCGGTACGGGCTGTGGATGTGGCGCATTTATATATATTGTAGTAAAGATATTATTTATTTGGTAACTAAATTATGTTTTGCATATTTATTTAGATTAGCACACTTGCAGAAATAGGACAGCTTATTCTCATTAAGCATCTGTGCCAAAGTGTTCTATGTAACCTTCTGCTGAATAAAGCTCATTTCAGAGGAACTATACAAGGATTGTGTCTTTTCTGACTTTCATTACAATCAAAATGTTAAGACAGAGAGTCCCACAATTCTGAAATGATGAGAACTCCCAAAGCAGTCATTTTGATGGATCCCATTCAAATTAAATGGAATTCTGAAAAAAATCCCACCAAAAGTGTTTTTTTCACCAGGTTTTTTCACCAGGTCTGCTTCCGCCCTGAAGGTACTTATTTTCCGATAATGACCGGTAGAACGTTTTGAAATTACTGCTGTGAGGAGCCGTATAATAAGAACAATTAGTTGGTTGAAAGGCTAACGCTAAAGACCAAATGCTAACTGCTGCAAGTGAACGGTGTGTTAACAAAAACTCAGCTCATAATCATAATCAGAACCAGCCCAGGACCAGCCCAGGACCAGCCCAGGACCAGTCCAGGAACATGCAGTTTGGAGAAGAGGGGCTTTAACTGCTATTTGCTCACACGTAAAAAGTAAAAGGTCATTTCATAAAAGTAATCACTCTTTCAAAAAGTATGGAAAGCAACTCATAAGTTTTGTTCATAATCTATCCATTTAATTACTATATGAGGATTGGGCAGAGAGCTGATTGGCTGAGTGAGGTCAGTCCTCTCTTTTTCATTTTTCCGTCTGAAAAATCTGATTAAAAGATGTGACACAGGCCAAAAAGAGCATCCGTGTGAAAACGAATGCTAAAACCAGAGTGAGAGTAACTGAGAACAAGCTAGATGGATTTTATTACATACTGTAGCTGAATGTTTTCATCTCCAATGAATGAAAGAAGATCAGAAAAGTATAATCCAGCGCCTTATCCTGAGTCTTGAAGCCCCTCTCATGCCATAGGGGACTAAACATTTATACATTGCAAACATTACATTTTTAGTGCCAATATATGAACAAATTAATGAATTTATTTGAAAAATACCAGCTTTCTTCATTAGCCACATTCAAAACTGATGAAGATAAAATAAACCTTTATTTGTCATCATTGCGCACATCACAGCAGAATAAAAGGAGGAAATAAGAGGTTGCACACATCAAACAGGGTCTATTATTTAAGATAATAGACAAAAAAATAAAATGATAAGATAATGATAATGATAAGTAATTAATTAAATAATAAAACAAAACTATTTAGGGTGATAGATGATAAAGTAAAATGACAAAATTACAAATAAAACTAGCTGTTATTGCTTACAGTAAATACTAACAGTTCATATTAGTTATTAACCCTAACGTATTTAACAACAATATCCTTATC